TATTATGAGAGTGCTGCAGGTCAGTGTGTTGGCGAGCTGCAGAAGGCCCAGGATCAGGTGCGCTCACTACAGGCCAAGATCAGAGAGAGCGAGACGAGGAACCAGGTACAAAGACACCAGTCTCCAAAACGACAGCTTCATCTTCTTTTTGCCTTCATATACTTTGAACTTGAAACATGACGCTGTCAAAATATCCACTTGTACAGCTCTTAGGAGAGCTGAAGCCTATCCCTGCTAATATTTGGCCAATGGCAAGGCACACCCTGGACAGATCGCTGGTGTTTTGCAAGGCCAACACAGACAGACAGTCATTCACACTTACATTCATACGTACAGCTAGTTTAGAATTGCTAATGAATCTAACATGCATATCTTTGGACTGTGGGTGAAAACATACAAACACATGCCGTAATATATTCCAGATAATGTGGAATTTTGTTCTGGGTGTTTGTGTGTATGTAGAAGCTGCAGGAGCGTCTAGGTGAAATGGAGCTTGAGCTGCGATCGGCCCAAGAGGATGCCCAGCAACAGGAGAGAAATATCCAGAACCTCACTGATACTGTAAACTCCAAACAGGCAGAGGTACAGTAGTAATAAATAAGGCTTGATAGTAAATAAAGGAGGGAATTCAAAATCTGAGCATTGCAGAGAGAATGAAAGTAAGGTCAGAGGTGGAAGTGCTGAAAACCCCACAGTTTCATACATGAATTGTGCCTTTGATTGTGCAGGTTGCAGAGCTGTACAGGGTGATTGAGGAGCAAAATAAGACACTGTGCTCACTCAAAGAGTTTGCCAACCGCAACCAGCTGCAGCAGCTGCAGGTTGGTCCTCCACACAAAGCACAGTTCTGTTTTATTAATTACCAAGCTGCCTATCTAAAATCATTTTTCAGCATACAATAAAAACATGTTTCAGAGTTGAGTTTAGTTTCATTCCTGTTTGGTTCCTCACCTGCCCTTTGTGTTTTTCTTTCTTCCCTGACTGGTTTTACCTGCAGGCGTCTGGTGCAGAGACTATTAGAGGTCAGGGTGAGGTCCTGGCTCTGCAGGCCTCTCTGTTCCAAGCTCAACTGGAGCTGCAGGCTGGACAGAGAGCCCAGTGTCAGGCAGTCAGGACTCAGGAGGACCTGAACCGGGCCCTGGAGAGACAAGAGAAAGAGCTGCAGGGGTCGCTGGGACACAAGAGGGAGACAGAGAGACACAACCAGGTGAGAAAATGACTTTTTTTTTTTAACGAGGGTGTTTTCGTCATTCTTCTTTTCTTTGTTTTAATCGCATCGTGGTTCTTTTCACTTTATCATGTCGTGCATGTGCGACACTCAGGAGCTGCAGCTCGCTCTAGAAAAGGCTCGATCAGCTCTCCAGGAGAGAGAGGAGCAACTGAGAGAGGGTGAGCGAGAGCGACAGAGAGAAAAGGAGGAGAGAGAGAAGATCATCAGCGAGCTGAAGGCTTCCCTGAAGACCAAAGAACAGCTGGTGGAGGTTGGACACAATCAAACAGTCTGTAAACAGTAAACAAACCATCATGTTCGACGCTAATAAATACAAACAGATCTCATTGTTGTCGGTATTGTATAATAAACACAGAAGTGCACATGACTAATGCTTAAAATGCGCCGCATCTGAGCAAAGAACGACAAAACTAAAAGTAAGATGAGCTGCAGTTGCTCTCACAGCCCCTAGACGCTTTCTGAAAACTTCAGCTCCATTTAAGCTCTATTTTGTCTTTGTGGATAAGTAGGATTGTAATTTACTCTGCAGTTGACGGTCTGTTTGCTGTCCAGCAGGAATGCTGTGAGTTCCTGGAGGATCCAACGGAGAAAAGAGACTCTGTGCTCCAGAAACTTCGCCAGCGTATAAAGGAGCGAGACAGAGCTCTGGAGGTAAACACAGCAGTACGCTCGCCAACACATGACAAAAGCCAAAACAATTAGACCAACACATGTCCTGTGAACTCCTTTATATCATGTTAATTGTTAGTAGTCTAAGATGGTTGAGTTTGTGGGTTTAGATTTTAAAACATGTCATTTTAGTTAGATGGAGGTTAAAACAACTTTATTTCCACAAACCCTGCAGAAAATAGTCGATGAGAAGTTCCGCTGCATGGAGGAGAAAGACGAGGAGACTCGTCGCCTGCAGCTGCTGCTCAGAGAAAAGGAGAGAGATCTAGAGAGACAGCGCTGCGTCCTGGCCAACAATGAGGAGACCATCACTGTAAGAGGACACACAAAATAAACTCATCTTTTTTTCTTGGCAGTATGTTGCCTCATCTTGCTTCCTTATTGGAATGTTTGCGTCTGTATCAGAGCCTGGAAGTACTGCTGCGGGGTAAGGCTCTGGAGCTGGAGCAGGTGTGTGATGCCTGGAGGAACGTCCAGAGGCAGCAGCAGGAGAGTGAGGAGAGGCAGAGCTGCATCCTGAGAGAGAGAGATGCCATCATCAACCAGCTGCAGAAGGCACTGCACACCTGCACACAGGAGGCTCAGGTAGAGAGAGATCGGCAGGAAGAGTAACATATGTTCCTGCAGAGAAATATTCCCAGGATCGTGTTAACCAATAAGTATATTCTTGTTTCTTATCTCATCTGCAGGATCTGCGCTGCTCCTTGCTGGCTCAGATCCAGTCTGCTCCAGGTGATGTTCTGGAAGAGCTTAAGGTCCGGCTCCACCTCAAAGACCGCCTCTTCCAGGGAGTACTGGCTGACCGGACCCATCAAGCTCAGGAGCACCAGAAGGAAGTTCAGGATCTCCTCAGAAGCATCAACAGTAGAGACCAGTATATTAAGGTAGAGCAGATAAAGCAGGTGAAATCCAAGAGTGAAAAGAAAAGGTTGAATATACAGAAAACCTGACAACACTCTCCCTACAGGACTCTGCAGTCCGCCTGAGTGAGGTCATAACTGAGCAAAAGTCAAGACTCCAGGAACTTCGCAAACAGCTGAGCTCAGGTTTTGGATCACAGCCTGACTTTGGAGCAGACTTGGCTTTGGAGCTTCAGGCAGTGCAGGAGGAGCTTTTTCTGGCTCTAAGGAGGGAGAAGGAGAGTCAAGAACTTACCAGGAGTCAGACTGCAAGGCTAGGCTCCCTCAACAGGACTCTGCATGTGAAGGAGGAGATCATCAGGGTTAGTGTGTGAGAATACAGAAGGTATCTGTGGAGTATAGTAGAACCTCTTGTCTAATAAGCTGATAGTGTGTGTATTTTGCCTATGCTTGTATGTATATACATGTCATGAGTTCTATGCGTGTGAGTTCATGTTTGTTTGTGCTGCAGGATTTTCAAAGGCAGATGGTGGATCCTTCAGGCCTCCCTCTGGTGGAAAGACTGACCCAGGAGGTCCAGGAGCTTCGGGAGAGACTGGGTCAGGAGGATAGCCCCCCAATGAGAGGCCCTGTCCTAGGCCGTGACCGGCCTAACAGCAGGCAGCCTGACTTTGGAGGTGGGCACCAGAGAAGCATGGGACAGTATCTGTAACAGCAGCACTTCTAGCACTGGGGAGCGGTGACTGTAGAATGGCTTACTGCACTGTGGTGATGGGATATGTACCATAAATTTATCAGCTGAAACTTTTTGGTGTGAAAATACTAACATGGAACTTTCTAACCAGTAGATGAAAGCAGACAGATGGATATTGATCTGAGCTTGTAGCGTCCCAAAAAAGAACATTTTGTTTAATAACTTTATAAATGTTGTAGTGCGGTTATTGTGATTTTGCACAATTAGTGCTGCTTCTTTTGCGTGTAAATGATAGCAAGGCATTTTATTTTTAATTTTTTGAATAACACATCATCATTATGATTATAACTGCAAATATTGTGGTAGTGTGCGCTTCAGAATGTAACCTTTATATGACGGTGTTTGTGTGCCTTTGCATGTTTTTTGCAGCAAGTTTGAGATTTCTGTATACTCAAGTCACATGCTGTCTGAAGATCATGGAAATCTGAGCACATTCCACATTGTCTTTAGTACAGTGACTGTGTATATTTAGTTTGCATGTTTGTTTCTGTGCATTCCAACAACTATTGGTCCAGTTGCTCTGTTGCTGTTGTTGTTAAATTAACGAATGTCACAGTAGAACACAGTAAGTATGAAGTATCAAACTGAATAATATATGTGTGTCTGCACAGACACCACGAGAAGCCACATTTGTTGCATTGTAGGCATTTCTGCACCTTTTTCCTTGAATTTTTACCCGTCCAGAGCCAAACACCCTTCAAAGTGATTTGTAATAAATAATAAACATACTGTACCTGATTAATGCCTTTGTGATTTCAGAGGTTTCAGATTATTCTACTTCAGTACTTGTGAAAGCTGAAATTCTCATTATTTTCCTTCTTTAATGTGCAATGTTCAGTATTAACCCTATGTAAAACACACAGTGGCACAAGCACACGGTCCACATTTCAGAGGAAAATCACTCCTTCATTCCCCCTCACTGAGTGAAAATGTGTCAGACTGAAACATCTGATTAATATGCATAAATGTCATAATTTGAAATTTAGCATATAGAGATTAAGTTGATGCCAAGGTCACATTTATTTATCTTTAATTTTTTTAAATTCATTATTTGTCAGGAAATAATAGACATAAACATCAATCACATAAGAGGAACCTGCCCCTGTATCTGATCTGGATACTAGTAATTTTGCATACCGATACCTTAATATATAATTGTTTACTTATATCTGCAAATACAGACATTTTAGTAATGCTAGTAATAATTACTGGTGAGGTAAATACAGATTTCTTCCATTATTTTAATTCAATATTAAAACGAATAATTACTTTTTACCAGTCTTCATAACAGTAACCCGTCTTAAACATAGACTGTGAGGCAGTCCTGCCTTAGCTCTTTGTCAGCTACCACTTTATTTCCTAGGCTCAGAACACTCAACATCCTGTCATCTTCAGGGATTTTTAAGCCTTCTCCATCC